CCCCAAAACCCCAAAACCCCAAAACCCCTTATTTGCCACCGAAAATAGATATAAGATTAAGACATATCACAACTTAATACAATAAAAGATTTTTGTGAATCATGGAAACTACAGCAAGTGATTTTGAAGTAAAGGTCCAGGATATTGCCCACCTCATGAGGATTGACTCTATCAACATGACTAATGCATCTGGGTCTGGTCATCCAACCTCATGCTCGTCGATGGCTGAGCTACTTTCGACTATCTTCTTCCATCCAAATGGAATGAAGTTCAATCCTGAGCATCCAAGAGGATTTGAGAACGATAAGTTTGTCCTGTCTAAGGGTCATGCTGCTCCTATCCTCTACTCAGCTTGGAGTCATGCTGGACATATCCCAAAGGATGAATTGCTGAATCTTAGAAAGATAGACAACGATCTTGAAGGTCATCCAACTCCAAGACTAGATTTCATTGATGTAGCAACTGGAAGTCTCGGGCAAGGACTTAATGCAGCTGTTGGAATGGCCTACTCTATGAAATACTTTGAAAAAGTCTCAAATAAAGTCTTCTGCTTACTTGGAGATGGGGAGATGGCTGAAGGATCCAACTGGGAAGCCATGAATTTTGCATCTTATCACGAACTAGATAACTTAATCGCTATTGTAGATGTTAACAGGCTCGGACAATCAGATGAGACTTCTCTAGGACACTCAGTTGAAGTTTATGAGCAAAGATTCTCAGCTTTTGGGTTCCATACTTTCCTCATTGACGGTCATAATGTTGCAGAAATCGTCGAAGCATTGGAACAAATGAAGCAAGTACAAAAACCAATCGCTATTTTGGCTAAGACTATCAAAGGGAAGTACTTCCTTGATAAAGCTGACCAACAGCCATGGCATGGAAAACCACTTAAAGAAGAAAGTAACCCAATTGTGGAGAGTATTGAGAAGATGATCCATGATAAGGATGCTAAATTAACTCCTAGTGTTCCTGAATCAGATGCCATGGAGCCAGAGCATGTTGAGCTCACTGTCCCAGAATGCAAGTATAATGTTGGAGACATGGTAGCCACAAGAAAAGCTTTTGGGGAGTGTCTTAAACTATTAGGGGACCAGTCAAATCTTGTTGTTGGAGTTGATGCTGATGTTAAAAACAGCACAATGCTCCAATACTTGAAAGATTCCCATCCAGATCAATTCATAGATTGCTTTATTGCCGAGCAGAATCTTGTTGGAGTTTCAGTAGGAGCAGGAGTAAGAGGAAGAATTCCTTTCTGCTCAACATTTGCTACATTCTTCACTAGAGCATTTGATCACATTAGAATGGGAGCTATCTCACAGTGTAACGTTAAATTCGTTGGATCTCATTGCGGAGTATCCATTGGAGCAGATGGACCCTCTCAAATGGGGCTTGAAGATATCGCAATGTTTAGAACAGTCCCTAACTGCATAGTATTTTATCCATCTGAAGCTGTATCTACCTTCCATGCTGCTACTCTTGCAGCAAACCATAAAGGAATGGTATTCATTAGAACAGGAAGACCTGACGCTAAAACTTTCTACAAATCTGATGAAGAATTTAAGATTGGTCAGAGTAAAGTAGCTATCTCAAATGATTATGACAAGATTACAGTTGTAGGAGCTGGAATAACCTTCACATCAGCAACTGAAGCAGCAGAGAAGCTTAAGGAAGAAGGTACCAACATTAGGGTTGTCGATCTCTTCTGTGTAAAACCAATTGACAAAGAGACTCTTGTAAAATGTGCCCAAGAGACTAACAACACTATCTTAGTTGTGGAAGATCACTACCCAGAAGGAGGTATCTTTGAGGCTGTTTGTTCAGCAGTTGCTTCTGAAGGAGTCAAGGTCCATAATCTCGCTATCAATGATGTCCCAAGAAGTGGAAAACCAACAGAGCTACTAGCCAAATACAAGATTGACTGCGATGCAGTTGTAGAAAAAGTAAAAGAGTTGATTGCTTAGATATTTTGAGAAAAGATTCATATTTCCAACTTTGACTGATTGAAAAGGGGTTTTGGGGTTTTGGGGTTTTGGGGTTTTGGGG